GACTGACAGGTTATGGGTGACAAACGTCATATCATTTCGACACCTGAAGAACGTCGAGACAGGCAATTCAATAATAGCACGGTTATAAAAACTCACATGATAAACGACAATACGTTATTTTTACGTAAAATCGATAGTACGCTTATTTTACGTAAATACCCAGCTCTTCAAACGGTTTTATTCACGAATAAAACTACATGTTGTTAAATTAAGTATGGTATTTATACTTATACCTTTGGTCTGGAGCAATATAAGACTACAGTTCAGTTTACAAATCAGCTTTACGGAAAATATAGGATTTTTCGGGATAGATACGATTACTTTACAAACAAACAGTTTACCAATCAGCTTTACGGAAAATATAGGATTTTTCGGGATAGATATGATTTCTTTACAGATAAACAGTTTACAAGTCAGCTTTATGGAAAATATAGGATTTTCCGGATTAAACACTCTGATTTTACAAACAAACGAATTACAACTCTTTTTATAGAAAATATCAGATTTTCTAGAAACAAACGTAAATTCATCTCATTGAATGGCATATATTTATTCATACAAATGCTTATGAACTCACCAACTTAAATGTTGACACTTTTTCTTAAATAACTTGTATTCTCAGGAAATCAGTAAAAACAGGTTAGCAACAACATTTGAAGATTTGACGCTAAGACGTTAAACAAAACTTTTGACATCATATTGTAATAGACTTTTTGGGAACATGTAATGCTGACAAATGATGTAACTTTTTTACTATGTATATGATGGTTGTGTTTACTTTCTTTACTATTTAATTGTTATGATACTGCACATGACGTCCTCCGCCCCCGAACGTTTCCGTTGTTCAGGTTTGGGGGTGTGACATTTGAGCCCTATTTAAGCTCCTTAACTTCCCCAAAGGCATTCCATTCTTAGCCTCCACCCTCTCCAACACCCTCCCTTGAAACCCTAACCCTAGTTTGAGCCTTGTGAGAAAAAAATAAGGTGTTTTTAAGTGCGTTGGAGTGCTCTTGGTGCATCTTGGAGAAGAAGGAGCTCATTAGAAGTGTTGGTTGCATTGGAGCTTGTAGATACAAACTTTGTTTACCTTGGTCTTTCTTCTAGAGGTATAAAGCTTGAATCTTGATGATGCATTCGTTAGATCTATCTAGTTTTGGGTGTTATGAGCTTTTGGTCACTTTAGTGCATAAAGTTTAGATCCTGAAAGTTTGTGACCTTTTTATGGATAAAGTTGGAAACTTTATCCATCTAAACATCATATTAATTCAGATATGAAGGTTGGAGACTTGGACTTAATGGATTAAGTTGAAAAAGATGCACTTTTGGTCCCTTGGAGTCTTAAAGACTAGATCTTCATTTTTTGGACCATTCTAATGGATAATGTTGGAATCTTTATCCATTATGGAGTTATTAGGAACCCTAAAAATGTGATCTTGGACCTCCTATCCCTTCCATGTAAGAGTTAAGATGTCTTAATGGATAAATAAGTTAGATTTTTAGCTTTTGGACCTTTTCTAACCATGGAAAGCCATAAAGGTGGAAACTTTATGACTTAAGTCGATGTTTTGAGATTAGATCTGAGTTTGGACTTTTTGATCTTAATAATTAAGTCCTAAAATGAGAAAATGGTCACCAAGGGGGTACGTTGGGTGTACATATGCGTACGCTCAACGTAATGCATGTTTACCTCGATACCATGATGTGGCAGTTTGTACGTTCGGCATCAGCGTGTAGTACGCGGGGCGTACGAGTCCTTTACGTGCGACGCACTCGTGAAACTCTCTTTATGGGCCTTTTGGGCCTCAGGTCTTTTGGGAGTTGGTCCATGAGTTGTTAAGTCAGATTTGGGAAGGGTAAAATGGTCTTTTACTAGATTCCCAGTTATGGTTTATGACCCAATTATTAATTGGGGTTTTATTTGATTGGTTAGTGCGGGGACTCTCCGATTCAGCAGCCCGAGCATCTGTTTGACTGAAAGCAGACTGAGGTAAGTTTGCTTACTATATTGTAGGACACTAGGGATTGTATGTGCTTGTAGTCTTTGTGACTCCTGTTGTATGTGTTGTATGCATGTGTGCCTGTTTGCTATATATATGTGGGGTGAAATAGACGAGGTACAGCCTAGTGTTGACATATGAGTTGAAATAGACTCGGGGGTGAAATAGACTCGGGGTGAAATAGAACCGACACAGCCTTGAGCTGGCATATATGTATAGTATACGGTATTTTGAGGAACTCATTAAGCTTTGTTCTTACGAGTTATGTTTAAAATATTTTCAGGTACTTCCGGTTCGAGAGAGAAGGGCGGCTTGATCGCATCACATCCACCCATGTTTCCGCTCTTTATGATTTTGGAACTGTACCTTGATAACTATTTTTACTCTGATATACCTTTGAATAATTGAAATGATTAAATGGTATTTATGGTTTAATTAAAAATGAATTTTTTTACCTTAAAATTTTTAGGACGTTACACATGAGTACAATGAAAAGACTCACCTCTCAGTCGATACTCAGCTGCTGCCGCTCTCACTGCCGAAATACATGTGCTATACCCCACCTAGACAATCATACAAGCTACACCCTCAATCCACTTCCCAAAAACTAAGAGTTGTCCAAAAGTCAACTTAGGTCAAAGAGTCAACGGTCAAAGACAAAGTCAACATCATCAACACTCCTCCATGTCGTGGCCTTCCTTGGGCATGCCGTGGGCACAAAACGACAAGACATTCGACTGGTCTCTAGCTGCCACGCCGTGGGGGCCAAGCTGAATGGATTATTCGAGTTAAGCTGCTCTTAACTCATTTTCAGGGGCTAAAAAGCACAAATCTACTCTTTCCCAATGTCTTGATGGATAAAGTTTCAAACTTTATCCATTAAGACAATATCTCGAAACCTAGGTTCTAAAGGCCATTTAAGATGTACAAATCATCCATTAAGTCCTTAATCACAAAAGATACAAGCCTAAAATTTTCCAGAAAGCTTTTAGGGTCCTATTGATCTCTAAAAATGTAAACTTTTATGGATATATATGCCCCATGCATGTACTTCCTTAAATCTAGGTTAAAAGAGGAAAAAGGGACCCAAATCTCATGCAAGACTTCCAAATCACAACCAACTCTAAGATCTATGAGATATAAGGTCCTTGGGACTCCTAAGAGTCATTAAGTTGCAAAATTTATCTCTTTGCTCCACTCGAAATCCAATGAAAGAGTTTATTAAGAAAAATAACTCTAGATCTCTAAGGAGAAGATAAAAAAAACTAGATCAAGAGCCTTGCAAATGGTCCAACAAGGTGCTTTCAGAGGTTGGGGAGTGTTGATTGCTGGTCTCTTGCACAAAATCTTCCTCTACTTCCTTAAAAATCACCAAAAGCTAATAAATGAGATCCAAAAGCTTCAAAGAAGATAAGGGTTAGGGTTTCTGAGGGTTTAAGAGTGATGGAAGCTGAGGATGAATAAACCATAGTCTCATCATTCCTTTAAATAGGGCGCAAAGCCTGCAAATTAGGGTTTCATTAAAAAACAGCTGCTACATCGTGGCATATATATGGTCATACCGTGGCGGGCACGATATTCGAAATCATCGCCACACCGTGGTGAGGCTCCACAATGTTGTGGCCACCCAGAATGAAGACTTACAATATGATGGATTAGTTCATACCTGAAATGGGTGTTACATGTAATGTACACCACAACTAGGTGGCACTGACACTACTTTGAGCCACTAAACAACAATTAGTTCCCAATTTAGAAATTAAGGAACATTACTTAACTTTCTCCACAAAATAGTCTTTCTTCTCTTAATCCTTTTCATGGGGAAACATATTATTTTTCCCTTACTTGATTGGTAAAAAAAGTAAACGGTCAATGGTCAAAGGTCAACGACCCACCACGTTGTGGCACACCATTTACTACGTCATGGCCTGGTCTAACAAAACAGACGCAAATCATATAAGCGTCGTGTCGTGGTCAAATCATTACTATGCTGTGTTAGTTCTGGCAGCTTAATACTTTTATTAAGCACTTAATCCGCTAAGACAAAACCTATTACTTTCCATAAGGCTTCTTGGCATCCCAAAGGTTCATAAAAATCTTGACTTTATGTACATGCATGTCCAATGCATGTCCTTTACCAACGTAGGTCAAAATAGTGAGAAATGGGGTCAAAACCTCAAGCTTGGCACCAAAACAAACTAGAAATCTAGATCTGAAACATATATCACTCTTGGGACCTCGAAGAGTGATAAAATTGCAGAATTTATCATAAATAGTCTCTCAAAATTACACAACATGAAGAAACTTGTTCATTTTCTAGATCTTCAAAGAATAAACCTTAAGATTAGATCTATGATGCTTACATCTATCTATGAGATGCTTGAATGTTAGAGTTGGCTTGCTTGAAGGCTCAAGGACTCACTAAGCACAACATCTTCCTCTAAAAGACCAAATCCATAGAAATGAGGCTTAGAACATGAGAGGGGGAGACTAGGGTGTTGGGATATCTTCTTCGGAGTAAATAGAGGTAGGGGTTGGGGGAACCCTAGCCCCGACATTCTTTAAATAAGACTCAAGATCTGAGACTTATGGTTTTGAGTCCATAGCAGTGCCGCGTCCTGACGAGTTGCCCATTGTGTCGTGGTGACGTGACAATCACCACTATGCGGTAAACCACTTCACCGCATCGTGGCTATATCGATCATCTTTTATTTTATTTTTTATTTTTTGACTATTTTATAGTAAATTTAAAAAAAAAAAAAAAAGATATTATGGTATTTCACAAATTTGAAGAACATCGTAAATGCTAAGCATAATCACTTTCATCTTTATTAAAAAAAATTATTTATAAGCATTTTTGCTAGTTATTTTATGATAAATTTGTAAAATGTGATTATTTTCTGATCTTTTTGGTCATGTTTAAGTCAAAAATACATAACTCTTTTAAAGCTAAAACTTAACCGAGATTTTTGTCTGTGCTTATATGGCTTCGTCAAAGTTAATGTCGACACAGCACTAGTCCGTGACACACGTTCCCTCTCTTATCTGCCAGGCCTACCTTCAAATTTAAGCAACGCTTTCTGTTCTCCAAGAAAAGTATATGCTGCCTTCGTTTCACAACTTATAATCACAACTCCATTCGCAGATTCACAACCATTATCCCATGATCTATACTAGTTTCCCTCACTAATCGGAAATGGCGTCGAAATTTTACATCACATTCACACCATGTTACACAAAGAACCACCACCGATTGCCAGAAGCGCCGCAACGCTTCTTATTTTCAAGCGATTCCAGAGGTAAACGACCGAGTCTGGGAGTTACTAGGGTTTCAGATGGCGGAGAATCGTATCTGGGGATGTGGAGAAAGGCGATGGACAGGGAGAGGAAGGAAATCGAGTTCAAGAAAATTGTAGAGAACGTGGTCGGAGACGAGGATAACGGCGGAGGAGACGAGGATTTGGAGACGAAGAGCAGTGAGTTCTTGAAGATACTTGAAGTTCCCACTGAGGAGAGGGATAAAATTCAAAGAACACAGGTGATCGATCGGGCCGCTGCTGCAATTGCTGTTGCTAGTACACTTCTAAGGGATGAGAAAATGCCGATTGAGAATGAGTCCTACGGATTAGGCCATCTGGATAATGACGATGGCAGAGAGGTTTCTATATTTGGGGATTCACAGCAAGGTAATTCCCCTTTCAATCTTCGAACTTATTTACTTATTAGGAGATGTTTTGATGTGATTTTAGAAGTAATTATGTGGTACTGAAGGATCAAATTAGGTGTTTGAATATTCTTGCCATTTTCTCGATTTTATTTCATTTCCAATTATCAATTTTATCATATTTGTGTGTACATCAGGATCATCTAGTATCGGAACACCAGGTCCAAATTTCTGGTCATGGATACCACCTTCCAATGAAAATGACGGATCTACCCCTGCATCAAGTAGAAAAACCTCAACATCTCCCATTCAACCAAACCCAGTAATGGAATTAGAACCTTCCTCAACTCATCTCATTCTCCCATTCGAAAGCAAAACCAAGAATCCTCCACTTCCACCATTCCAGTCCCTTAAAGAGGTTGAAAAACAGGATCTTTCAAGTCCCATTTTGGAAACTGCTCAACTGATAGAAGCACAAGAAGTTGATAATTTGTTTTCAAGAAATGCAGAAACTGCAGCTCATGCTCTTGCTGACGTGGACCCAGTGACAGATGGCACTAATGTTGAAGGATCAATGTGGTGGAAAGAAACAGGGACAGAAGTGAGAGCAGATGGAAAGGTGTGTAGGTGGACTTTGACTAGAGGTGTTAGTGCTGATAAATCTGTTGAATGGGAAGAGAAATATTGGGAAGCTTCTGATGAGTTTGGGTATAAGGAACTTGGATCTGAGAAATCGGGTCGTGATGCTTTTGGGAATGTTTGGCGGGAATTTTGGAAAGAATCGTTGGCACAGGTATGACAAGGGTAAAATGGTCATTTACTCCTTATTTGTAATATGCATGTATGATGGTTAAATGTGTCCATGGTTTATATGATGCAGATTGAAGGGTGTGTGCATATTGAAAAGAGTGCAGATAAATGGGGGAAGAATGGAAATGGTGGTGAGTGGCAGGAAAAATGGTTTGAACATTATGGTGGAGGTCAAGCTGAGAAGTGGGCCCACAAATGGTGCTCCATTGATCCAACTACACAACTAGATGCTGGTCATGCTCATGTTTGGCATGAAAGGTAACCACATTATAATCATGTAAAAGTAGGCTGCTATAACAAAAGAAGGGTAAATTAGATATAAGGGTAAAATGGTTATTTATCCTTTGAACAATGTAACAGAGATATTAAAAAAAATTTATGATGTTCAGGTGGGGTGAGAAGTACGATGGTCAAGGAGGGAGCGTGAAGTACACGGATAAATGGGCAGAACGTTTGGAGGGTGACAGGTGGACGAAATGGGGGGATAAATGGGACGAGCACTTTGACCAAAATGGGCATGGTGTGAAACAGGGAGAAACATGGTGGGAGGGGCAATATGGGGAACGATGGAATAAAACATGGGGTGAAGGTCACAATGGGTCAGGGTGGGTCCACAAATATGGGAAGAGCAGCAGCGGTGAACATTGGGACACCCATGTCCAGCAAGACACGTGGTACGAAAGACACCCTCATTATGGTTTTTATCATTGCTTCGAAAACTCTGTCCCTTTACGTCAAGTCAAAAAACCTTCTGAGAGGGACTCTGAATCTGAATGAGACTGCACAGTCTGTAATAAAGATGTGAGAATTCATAAGGTTTCACCTTTTTTGGGTTTGGGGGATAATGTTATTTACTTTATCATTAAACTTAGAGTGTATATTTTTCATCTTTGTATTTGTATATAGATGGTTTATGGTAATTATCGAGTCTGAGAGTTCACATTAAGAGTTGTATGATTATCAGTAAAAACACAAAGCTTAATGTTCGATTGTGATGAAGATCGTGAAATATGAATTCACAATGATAAGAATGTAGATAAACGTGTGGTAGAGTAGGTTTTATGAAGCATAAAACAGAATGTAAAATGGGGAGGAGGTACCACTCCCTCTTGAATGGATGGGGAGTGGTGGGTTGTTTACGTGGCTTCACTAACATGCTTCATCCTCTTTCTCTTTCTATTCTCTTTCTCTTTTTCTCTTGTACCATGTGTTTTAAGACTTATACCTTAATTGTTTTGTATTTTTTTTTAATTGAGTGGGTTGAGTGAGTTGCAAAAGACAAGGTTTTTATGTGTTGTGGGTTGGAAAAGATGGAAGAAAGATGAGACAGAAAATCTGATGTGACAGTGAGTTGAGTGGGTTGGTAGCGAAAGACTCCCTCCTCCCTAAAAACAAACATATGTATACATTTATGTTTGTATGCGTATATATCTTTATGTCTGTGTAGATATATATGTAAATGATTGTTTGATTACTCTTGTTTAAGTGTGTTATTACTTTTTTTTTAGAAAGAGTTGTTTAAGTGTGTTATTTATGTATTGAGCGCATATATTCGAAAAACTCCAATTTTTTGTCCATAAGCCCAAAAATCATAATTCAGTAATAATATTCCATTTAATCCCGATTAAGGGAGAAGGGAGTCGTCGTGGTTTGGGTGGTGGGTACCGGCGGTACAGTCGGGATGTGGTACCGTCGGCTTGCGGGAGCAGCAGGTTGGAAGAAACCGGGCTTGCAATGGGTTGGTGAAGCCGTTTACTTTATCTCTCGAGAGCTTTCTCTTTATTATTCTTTAACAAAATTCTACAGGGATGTGGTACCGTCGGCCTGCGGGAGCAGCAGGTTGGAAGAAACCGGGCTTGCAACGGGTTGGTGAAGCCATTTCCTTTATCTCTCGAGAGCTAAAACAAAGAAATGAAGAGATCTAATCATGGAGAAGACATGAAGAGATCTAATCATGGAGAAGACAATGTTTGAACTTGATACCTCAATAAGCTTACAACAAGGGTGATGATTCTGGATCTATAACCTTCTCACCAAGCAAAGCACCTTCCAACTTCTATACTTCCTTTACAAGGAGCAAAACAACCACCAAAATCTTCTTAGGAACTCAAATGCACAACCATGGAGGCTAAGGGATGACTTCTAGGGTTTTGGAGGCTTAAAGGCGGGTAAAGAGGCCAGCTGTAACGACTTAAGGTGTTTATATATGGTGCAACACCCTAAAATTAGGGTTTCTTATTCACTTCGTATTCCCCGCGTAATCCTCGTACGCCCAGCGTACGAGGCCTCGCACTCCCGATCCATCCTTCGCAGTACGCTAAGCGTACACCAAATTACGCTTCGCATAAGGTCTTCGCACTGAGTACGCCCTATGTACGCCCCACGTACTAGGGCTTTTCCTTAAACCCTAAATTCATCCGATGACCATAACTTCTTCGTTATAAACCCGATTTCGACAATCCTTACATCTATTAAAAGGTAAGGAGAAGCTCTACACTTCAATCAACTCATACTTGCTTTACAATATCCGGAACGAAATCCCTTTTTCCAAAAAAGCCCGAGCTGACATATTACCAAAATACCCCTTGGCTCTAAAACACAAACCGAACACCCGGATCATCTAAACTACATCACCCACCTTCAAATGAGTCCAGATCTCAATTCTTCAAAGGTCCTGAGCCTGCTAATACCCGATCTTTGATCACTGCCCCGAAATATGAAACGATACATAACTGGGCGTTACACCCCCCCCCCCCCCCACATCTAAAAGTTACATAACATATCAAGATTTAAACATTTAACCTGTTTTGTTAAAAGCTTGATTCCCTGCTGCTAAAAACATTGAAAAGCAATAAACTCAAACCAACATACACTTGACTGCAAAGCAAGCATACCACCAAGATGCTAGGATTTTTAGAAGAATAAAACTTAAAAACTAACCTCTGAACCTAATTGACCCAACCCCACCCCATGAACTTATAGCGGATTGGATTCAAGGATTAGGTTGCAGCACCATTGCAGCCATCTAAGTTTTTTAGATTTATGTCTAGCGTTTATCCATAGATATGATAGGGTCTGGATTTCATTAGAAAGACCTGAAGGTGAGATGGGTTTGACTGAATGAGCTAGCTTGTTCCTGAATTTCCTGATGACCCAGATAAATACCAAAGATATAGCTTCTTGAAACAATCCTAGGTCTTTCTTAGATGTAAGTTATTCTTACACTGAAGTAGTTCTGAGACCGAATGCAAACCTGTTGGAAATAAGTGCCACCATAATCTAATATCTCCCCAAACTTCTAATGAAACTGGACAGGAGGTGAATAGGTGGGTTTCTGATTCTGCATGCCGGTTGCAGAGGGTGCACATTGTGTTGGAGCCAATTCCTAGTTTGTGTAGGTTTTCTTTTGTTGGTAACCTACCATGACAAACTCTTCATGCTAGGATGTTTACTTTCCGAGGCACAAGGTAGTTATAGATCCAAGAAATGTTTGTTTTTGGTAGGAGCTTGTTGTCGATGTGGTTTCTCAATGAAGCTATAGTGTATACACCCGATGGCTCAAGCTTCCAAAACCGCCCATCATTTTGGTTTGAATTGGGATTTATGAAGAGGTTTTGCAAGTCTAAGTCACGTTTTGATAAGGTGGAGTGCAAATTCACAATGGTGCCCCAATAGAAACCTTTTCTCTTTGCCTTTGAGGGAGCATTGAAACCCCCATCATTACCATATAAGGCTGTTATGACATCCTTCCACAACTCTTTTTTATCTGATTTGAAACGCCACCATCACTTCCCTAGTAGTGTAAGATTTTGAGCTTTCAAGCTTCCGATGCCGAGGCCCCCGTCATCAACTCTGGAGAGAACCTTGTCCGATGCTATCCATGACATTTTGTTTTTTTTTTCTAATGACCCTCCCCAAAAGAAATACCTTCTATGGTTTTCTAGGATGTTGATTATCTTTACAGGAGCCTTATATAGTGAGAATAGGTATGTTCCAAGACTGCCAAGTACGGATTTACATAATGTTAACCTTCCGCCAAAAGAAAGTGATGATGCTTTCCACTTAGATAGTTTAGATTGGAACTTATTTATGAGGGAGCTCCAGTGTGGTATTCTTGACATGGCAGCCCCTACTGGCATTCCCAAATACGTGAAAGGTGTGCAACCAACAAAGCAGTATATACTCCTAGCTAACAATTCAGTTTCAAGATTGTTCACCCCCAAACCAAAAATTTTGCTCTTCAACATGTTTATCTTAAGACCAGAAGATAATTCAAAGCAACGCAATATTCTAATAAGGTTCTTGGCATTGGAAATGGACCAAGAACCTAGGAAGATCATGTCATCTGCGTATTGTAAATGAGATAGGACTGGGCCGGAATTTGGAATGTTCCTTTGAAGATCTTTTGTTCCACGGATTCTTCCATGTCAATGTTTAGGCTCTCGGCAACCAGGATAAAGAGGAAACAGGATAATGGGTCCCCTTGATGGATTCCCCTTTCAAGGTCAAACTCTTTAGTTGCTGACCCGTTTACTATTACTGAGGCTCTAGCCGATAAGCAACCCCTGATCTAACTTCTCCATTTTCCTCCGAATTCCATTTGTTCCATTACTGAGTCTAAATAACCCCAATTAAGGCAATCAAATTGTGACAACCCGAAAGATATTCCGTTAACATAACCCATGCCGTTAATAAAATTTATTTTATTTTGGGTTTTCCGTTCACTTTCAAATTAAATAATTCATTTAGAATTATTATTATTATTTCCTATGTATTGAAACGAAATAATTATTTGAGTGAAAACACTATAAATAATCTTTTGAAAATTTCTAGACTACGACTAATACGGGTAATGGTCATTTACCCGGGTAAAATATTAAGCTCCGTTTAATGTCCGTATTGGGTGTACTCCCACCGGGTCACTAACTCTAGACACATAAAAGGGTGGAGTGACCACCATTTGAGCTTTTCCCACACTTCAACTTTCTCTCTCTACTCTCTCTCTAGAAATCGAACTCTCTCAAGAATCTTCACTTTCAAGCTCCAAATTGGTAAGTAATCCTTCCTAACTAGTTGCTTATCCTAACATGCATGCAAATCCATGTCTTAAACTCTCAAATGCATCAAAAACTCGTGTTTACGGTTTGGGGAGCCTCCCAAAAACCGTAAACTCCTTCAATGGGGGTTTTTGAAGCCCCAAAAAACCCTTCCAAACCTCTTCTAATGCTTAGATCCTTACATGCATGGAGTTAGAACCACAAGATCATGAATTTTTGGCCATGAACATGAGTTTACGGTCCTTGAATATTCAAGAACCGTAAACACCCTTTCATGGGGTTTTGATGCTCCTTAACCCTTCCAATGCATGTCTAATGGCCTTGAAACTTGCTTGAATGATCTTAGAACCCTAAAACACGTCCAAATGAGCATAAACTTGAGTTTACGGTTTGGGAACGTCTCCCAAAACCGTAAACACCTTCCAAAGGTGTTTTAATGCTCCAAACACTTTGCATGGCTTGTATTTGAGTCTAGAACTTGCATGAATGGCCTACAAACCACCAAAACGCATGGAAAATGGACAAACATGGACAAGGGTGGGTTTACGGCCGTAAACCCATGAGTTTACGACCGTAAACTCCCCAAGGGTGGTCCAAGGACCGTAAACCCAAATTCCTAGGCCATTTCATGTCCCGATCACTTCCTAAGCCATGGAATCAACCTTAGAACCTTCCCGTGTACAAAATAAGGTCATTGATCAACCAAGAACACACCACTCATGAGTTTACGGCCGTAAACTCATGGGGGATGTGGTCTTTGGACCGTAAACTCCCCTAAGGGTTTACACTTGAAGAGTAAACACCTTATCTAGGCCCTACACTCCTTAGATACAACCCGTACCATCCCTAACACTTGAATTGAAGTGTTTTCATGCCTCGGAGTGTATTGTCCTACTATCTTGGTAAATCAAAGTCTAATTAGATACAATTATGTATCTCTTCATGTTACCTAGGAACCTCACGCGTGTTCAAGCCCTAAACTCATACTTAGCATCTAAATCGGCACATTCTCGTCAGGTGAGTTCATACCCCTACACCTTTTTCAAGTTTTACATGTTTTTCAGGGGGGGAATACAAGCAAAATCATAAAGGTTTTCATAACTTGAAAGAAACTGATGTAATTATACGATTCTCCGATGAACTTATGTTACTTTATCCCTCTTGTAATAGGCATAGCATAAGGGACATTTTCTAAATATAATTACATAGTTTTCCTAAAACTGTATGGAACTTATCAAACCTTTCCAATCTAAATGGGAAAAACTTATCAAACTGTGCAAATTATTATGGGAATAATTTGGGGATCTTTACCACTTGTTATACGAATTTCGATTTCATGCAAAGTCAAAAATATAAACTATGTCTGATTTAGTTTATCTATGTCTAATCTAGAGTATCATGCTAAATAATTATGTTGTATTTAATTATTTATACTCTACTATGTTCCAAACTAATTCGAAACTCGAAAACGATTGAATCATCTGAAAATCTGTAAATACTAGCTTGTGAGACTTATCTTCGTTATATCCTTCGGGATACCAATAAATCCTCACCGGAAGTATAACCAGAGTCTCCTGGAGGGAGAACGTGAAATTTGTGGATAGATCTATTCGGGACTGACAATCCCACACCTAAACTGTTAGCTACAGTTAGGCGGGCACGCCTGGGGTGACAAATTTTGTAAATCGAGCGACGCCTGAAGAACGTCAAGGAGGTCACGGGTCATATCAGTATGGTTATACGGCTCACAATACGTATTTAACAAACCAACTTGGTTACGAATTTTTCTTACTTTATTTCAACTATAGTTTTATGT